TACTGGGGATTGAACCCAGGGGTGATTAACTGCTAAGCCACATTCCCAACTGTTTTTTGTATTTTATTTAGAGACAAGGTCTCACTAAGTTGCTTAGGGCGTTGCTAAATTGTTGAGGCTGACTTTGAACTCCTGATCCTTCAAAACTTTTATTATTAATATTATTAGTGTTGAGGGTCAAACCCAGTGCCTTAATGTTCTAGTCAAATGCTATACCACTGAGCCACAACCCCAGCACTATAAAGCCTTTTTGTATTCACAGAATTATGGGAAACATTTTAGGAGTTTGCCTCCTGCAGTCTGCTCTCTGTTTACAAGGATTTGCATCCCCAACGGCCTGGGGATAAAACTCAGTGGTAAAGTGCTTGCCTTGCATCTCTCCCTTAAGCAGAATATTCCTCACCAGGGTTACTGAGGACCCCATCTCAGGACAGAATCACATTTTCCACATCACCTATGTTGGGTGCACATAAGGCTTTGCAGGGGACCCTCTTCTTTACTTATGAAGCTGAGACAAGTGAGGCTACACCCCAACAGAGGACTAGGCCTAGGGAAATGCGGAAAACTGGGAGGCTTCCCTCCAGGGCTGGACAGCGAGGCCCTGGGCTGGCCCTCCTGACCCCATATTCCACATTTTGGGAATGTTTCTGCCCAAGTACCTTTTTGCAGTTGAGGTTTGTAGGTGGGTAGTTTGCCATCCTGCATCTTGCCACTGCACTGGGGCCATTATCTCTTCCAACACTTCTCTCTGCCTCTCACAGTTTCAGGTCGAGGAGGATACCTTCTCCCATATGACACGTTGTACGCTCTGATGGCGATGCCCAGGCTTCCAGATGCTTCCTGAGAAGACCTGTGAGGCATACCCTCATCACCTGGGCCTGGGTCCACTGACCTGTGATCTTTTCTGGTTCTCAGCAAGAGACCATATGTGCTCTTCCTTTTCTTTGTTCCACATAGTCAGCAGTCATTGTTGAATTCAGCATCTTGTTGCTTGCAAAAGCTAAGAATTTCTTCTTCCTCCTCTTCTTCCTGTCCCTTCTCTTTCTCACCCTACCCCCCTCCCCCTCTCTCCCACTCCTTCCTTTTTTTTTTTTTTTTTTTTTTAAACCAGGGATTGAACCCAGAGTTCTTAAGCACTAGGGCCACTTCCCCAGGTTGTTTTTGTTACCAGGGATTGAACTAATTGGCACTTGACCACTGAGCCCCGTCCCTAGCCCTGTTTTGTATTTTATTAGAGACAGGGTCTCACTGAGTTGCTTAGCACCTTGCTAAATTGCTGAGACTGGTTTGAACTTGCGATCCTCCTGCCTTAGCCTCCTGAGCTGCTGGGATTACAGGCCCTGGTCACCCCAGACCTTTTTTATGGTTTTTTTTGAGACAGGTTCTCACTGTGTTACTCAGGACCTCTCCACATTACTGAGGCTGACTTTAAACTTGCTGTCTTCCTGCCTCAGCCTCCCAAGTTACTACTGGGATTACAGGCGTACACCACCGCACTTGACATTTTATTATTCTTGTTAGCTGTTTATACCAGTTTGTTTGTTGATTTCCTCTCAGTTTACTATAAGTTGCAAGAAGAAACCAGGCTTGCACTGTCAAGTCTTTGCTTGGAAATTTCGTCTGCTAGATATCTTAGCTCAGAGCTCATAAATCCTGCGTCTCACAACTGTAGGACACTGTGACCCTGTTATTCCCACCATGTAGGAGGATTCTTTCCTGCCTTTGAGCAGCTGACTCTTCTCTTCAGATGAGACAGGGAGGCCATTTGGGGCTAGAGATGGTGGGCAAGGAAGGCAGCTTTGGGTGGTGGCAGGGGCACACTTTGTTTATTTGTGGTTTTTAGGACTAATGGTCTACTTAGAAAAGGAGATGAAACTTGCTGCTGCTGTTGTTCTATTACCTAGGATAAGTAATGTGAGCACTTTAGTCACTCTGTACACTGGATATGTATGTTGAGTGCCTCCAGGTTTCATGGTCTTGAGCTGGGACATAGGGACAGATAGGTAGTTCAAATGGGAGTAGAAGTGCCAGAGAACAGTATGTACAGAGATGTAGGTATCAAACTGGGCTGTGGAAATGTGCAAGGAACTCTCACTCTAGATGAGCCTGCTCCCTCACAGCCACACATGGGCCCTGAGGTGAACCAAAGGACAGGACTGACCTAGCTAGCACCTGAGCACAGGAACAGCTGAGGTCCCTATCCCGGGTTTCTAGGCCAGCGTGTGGACCTGGAATGTCACCCTGATACAAAGAGTGACATCAGATGAGTGGTAGCTGCTTTGGTTGAGGGGAGACCAAATGAGAGGCCTCCTGAGAAGCAAGCTTATTGAACAGGGTTGAACTGGACATATGATCCTATAAATGTGAAAAATGGTACTATTAAAAATCTGTCTTCAACAAACCAGGAAAAATGCATGCAAGTGCAAAAGAGGGTTAGCAGCTTTACTCTGGACAGTGCAAGTATGAATTCCTAAGATAGAAGTCTAGCCTCTTGAAAAACAAGTATCTAAAAGGGTCATCTACTTCCCTGGTCCTAGAGATGCAAAATGTCATGGGTAGGATTTTTGTAGAATTTGTGCCAAGGACTTTTAAGAGCAACATGAAAAACTTACTGCTTTTCAGGAAAATTAATTCAAACCTCTGACTATCCCTTTAGGCTATTTGTCCAAAGGACATATAGAAAAGTCTAGAAAGAGTTTGATGTCTCTGCATTGTGTTATTTACTTATTTATTTATTTTTAATGCATTCTTTTTTAATATTTATTTTTTAGGTGTAGATGGACACAACACAATACCTTTATTTTTATATGGTGCTGAGGATCGGACCCAGGTCCCGCCCATGCTAGGCGAGCGCTCTACCGCTGAGCCACAATCCCAGCCCTGCATTGTGGTTTTTAGAAATAGCATTTGGGTGTCTCAGCCTTTTCTTGATCCGAGGTCTCCTCTTGGTTGTATGTATCTGTCAGTGATGCAGCAAGCATTTGTGACAGCAGGAAGGCGGGGCTCTGGTGGAATCTGCTGTGTGCACTGGTGCCTTTCTCTCTTTGCAGGAACAAACACATCATGATTGACTTGGGCACAGGCAACAACAACAAGATCAACTGGGCCATGGAAGATAAGCAGGAGATGGTTGACATAATTGAGACTGTATACCGTGGCGCCCGGAAGGGCCGGGGCCTGGTGGTGTCCCCCAAGGACTACTCGACCAAGTACAGATACTGAGGCGCGTGCCAGGGCCTGCATGGTGCCATGGGGCCCTTCCCTGGACTTGTCCTGGTCTGTTGAGAACTGGAGGGCTAAAGGTCACACACCTTCACTAGCTGAAGCAAATAAACACCTGAAGGATCACCCACCACTGTTTGTTCTTAAGAACCTGTGTAGCTGACTGATGTTGGTGGTCTCAGTTAATTGCTACCTCACCCTTGCAGAGGGGTCAAGGTGTTTTTCCTGTGGGATTGGATTCTGCAGTCTTGAATAGTTTACCAGGGCTGCCATGGCCAAATATGGTAGACCTAGTGGCCTTTACCCCAGAAAGCAGAGTTCACTTCTGGAGGCCAAAAGTCTGAGGTGAAGTTGCAAGTGGAATGGGTTCCACTGAGGGTGAGGGGAACGTGGAGGCACCCACAGTTCTTATGTCCCTTGGCTGGGAGTTGCTGTACTTGAGCTCTGCCTGTCTTCACAAGTGCATGTATATGTCTGTCTCCAAGTCTCCTTCTCATAGGGATGCCATTCATTGTGACTTCATCTCATATCTGCAATGACCACATTCCAGGTAAGTCACAATCTGAGATGCTAGGGGTTAGGACTTCTGTGAGTGAATTCTGTGGTGATATTAATCTATAACAGAATCCAAAGTCTTGATCATTTTCTGGTTATAAAAACAGTGTAATGCCCTTTGGAGGCTTCCCTGTGGGCAGTTGAGCTGTTTCTTTTTCTTCCTGAGGTTGGGTTTGATGTGCTCGCACACATCCTGTTCCTGAGGCTCCTGGTCTATCCAGAGAACAGTCTCCTTATTGCACTCCCAGGCTCCCATGGCTGGAAGTCCCTGTCACCTCTCAGTGCAGATTCACTCTAGTGAAAGCTGGGGGCACATCTAGAGGGGCTCTGTTGGCCAGGTGTCCTTGGGCAGGTTGCTTTCTACACACTTAAAGTGCTGAGTGCTTGGTTGGTATGTGGTGGAGTGAGTGAAGTGCTCACTGCCGTAGTTAAAACACATGGAATACCTGAAAGAGTGAAACAGATTTCTTATCTACATATATAGGTAAGAATGCTTCTTAATTGGATTTAAAATTCAAATGTGGGCCTGGGGATGCAGCTTAGTAATGGAGCACTTGTCTAGCATGTATGAAGCCCTGGATTCAATTCCTGGCACTGCAAAAATGTTTTTTTTTTCAAATGCAAATCTGTAATTTAATCTCTCTGGTGTCAGTTTTCCCATTTGTAAAATAGGGAATTTAAAACCATTTTGCATTGTTATGAGGGATTAATAAAAAATATAATCTCAAGTACCTGGCATATAATAAACATTGAATATCACCCTCCTGGCATTTCTCCAAAGAAGGAGAACAAATGGCCAGACAACATGCAGCAGTGCTCATCACTCATCACCACTGCTTATGAAGAGGCTGTAGTTAGCCATAGTCCACCACTCCCTGCCCACTGGGATGCTAGGTAGAAAGTCGGGCTGACAAGTGTTGATGAGTCCTCATGAACTGCTGACAGGATAAGATGATGTAGCCACTCTGGAAATTAGGCAGGCTGGTCTTGAAAAAGTTGAATGTGAATGCCCCATAATCAGCCCAACATATCATTCCCAGGTGTGTGTACCCAAGAGAGTTGAACACATGCTCCACAGAAGCCTGTGCTCAGTACCATTATTCTTGATGGCCAGAACAGGGAAGCCCCCGTATCTGTCAGTCAGTGGGTGAATGAACAGAATATGCTGTAATCTGCACAGGGCAGTATTCTGTGTTTGTAAAAAAAAAAAAAAAAAGAAGAAGAAGAAGAAAGAAAGAAATGCCAAGCACAGTGGCACACATCTATAATCCCAGAGATGGGGGGGTGAGTCAGGAGAATCACAAGTTCAAGGCCATCCTGGGCATCTTAGCAAGACCCTATCTTAAGGGCTGGAGTTGTGGCTCAGTGGTAGAGTGCTCGCCTAACATGCATGGGGCACTGGGTTCGATTCTCAGCACCACATAAAAATTAAATAAAGATATTGTGTCCACCTAAAACTAAAAAAAATAATAATTAAAAAAAAAAAGGAAAAGTACCAGAAAAAGGAAAGAAATGAGGTACTGTTAACATGCCACAACATGATGAACCTTGGAAATTTCAGGTGAGAGAGGCTACCTGTCACCCAGCCTGCAAAAGGTACAGAAGAGGCAGATCCATGTGGGCAGCAGGGAGTTGGTGGTTGCTTGGAACTGGGAGGAATGAGTGAGGGGAAGGAGCAAATGGGTGCTGGGTTTCTCTTTTAGATGATGAACGTGTTCTAAAATTGTGGTTGCACAACTCTGTAAGATCATGTAGTTGTGTAGTTGGGTGAATTGTGTGGTATGTGAGTTATATCTCATCAATAACAGCCTTATTAGCCATTATGAGAAAAAGATAAGCAAAAAGTTTACATCCCATATCTGTGAGCCTATTGTGCACCTGTTGTAAATGTGTTGCGTGTTGTATTATTCTGCTTGGACTGCCAAAACACTGCAAACGGTACTTAAATGGCAGGTTTATTTCTCACAGTTCTGGAATCTGGAAAAATGCAGGTCAGTGTTCCAAGCCAAGTAGTTTCAGGTCTCTCTTCCTTCTTGCAGATGGCAGCCTTCAGCTAGAAAGAGTTTGATGTCCCTGCATTGTGGTTTTTAGAAATAGCATTTGGGTGTCTCAGCCTATTCTTGATCCAAGATCTCCTCTTGGTTGTATGTATCTGTCAGTGATGCAGCAAGCATTTGTGACAGCAGGAAGGTGGGCCTCTGGTGGAATCTGCTGTGTGCACTGGTGCCTTTCTCTCTTTGCAGGAACAAGCACATCATGATGTGAGAAATTATACTAGTAAAAATCCATCTTCAACAAACGAGGAAAAAGGCATGCAAGTGCAAAACAGCTTTACTCTGGAAGGTGCAAGTATGAATTCCTAAGAAAGAAGTCTAGCCTCTTGAAAAACAAGTATCTAAAAGGGTCATCTACTTCCCTGGTCCACAGAGAAAGCAGGTGAGCTCCTTCTCTCATAAGAATGCCAGGCTCATTAGACCAGGTCCACCCTTTGACATCCACCTGTGAATGGACAACAGGCACATGAAAATTCAGTGCATAGCAGTTACAGAGTTGTAATATGTCTGCTCAAGCTTGATTTTAATAACTGTCTCCACTGGTGCTTTGTGACTGCAGCATAGTCAAATGTATAAGGACTTGGTTTTGCATTCCATGATTTCGTCTTTTATGAATCTACTTTCTACCTTGACCTGAGCTGGGTTCTTCTCAATTTTCACAAACTCTACAGTCACCTACAAGGTAGATTTTTTTTAAAAATTTTATTTTACTTTATTGAGAAAGGGTCCTGCTTTGCTACCCAGACTGATCTCAAACTCCAGGGCTCAGGTTATCCTCCTGTCTCAGCCTCCTAAGTAGCAGGGACTACAGGCACATACCGTCCCCCGTGATTCAGAAATAGAAACAAACGCAGGTACCCGAGGTATAATAGCAACAAAGGATGTGAATTCATAACCTGTGCCTGCATAGCTACCAAGCATTGCCTTATCTGCTGCCCACATTACTCTGATCCGATTGGAACTAGCTAGTGCTTTTCAGCACTTGGCAATTTTTCTCCCATCTTCCTGTGGTAGTCTTTAGGCAAACTCTGGGAATTACTCCACGTGACTAATCGGGAGGCACAGAATGAGTGTGTGATCCTATCCACCAGAGATGGGCATGCACACACAGGAGAGGCAGGAATCTTCATTGTAGCACGGTTGAGAACAGTGCAAGTCTAACAACAGATCATTCAGTGGACTTGCGTAGCAGTTAGTAGCTGAACGAGTGCTTCACCCATCTTGTGCTGCTGAACAGAAAAGTAGGGCAGAGCTTGCAGACTGGTGCCATTCCCACAGAGCTATTGAACATCCATGAAAGACCAGAAACATGATCACACCAGTGTGTGGGCACTAGACTTTGTAGGTATCCCATAGGCAGGGCAGCCTTGGCCATGGGCCCAGGAAAGAAACAGAACCACACCCAGATTCAAAATGCAAGATGTGTTTCTGGTCTTCAGGGCTTTTCTCTGGAAATCCAGGTGCTCACTGGCAACATGTGGCTGACCTGCTTCATGTGGGTGCCATTTCTAATGACTTTTCTACGTCATTTCTGTTAGTGGCTGGAACAGGTGTTTTTGGTTTCTGTCACAGTTCCTGGTTCATGACTCTTATGGCTAAGTGATTATCCTGGTGCACGTCAGGCCCCAGAAGCAGCCTCAAGAAAGCAGAATTTCTCTGCAATCTCTCCCACTTTCCACCTACTTTTTTCTCTTTATAAGGCAGGCCATGGAAACTGTGGTCTTAATTCTGTGACCTGCCTTGTCTGGTAGCAGGTGCTGTGTTTTGGATCTGGAATATGCCTCCAAAGACCTGTGTGTGTGCTGAGGCTGGGTCCCCAGGTGGTGCATTGTTGGGAGGTGGTGGAGCCTTTAGGAGGTGGGCCTGGTGAGTGGGGTAGGGTGTCCCTGAGGCATCTTTTGTCCCTGTGGCCTGGCTGACATGCGGTGAGCAGCTTTGCTCTCCCTCTCTGGCCCACCATGATGTTCTGCTTCCCCACAGGCTCAGAAGCAACAGCCAGGTGACTTTGGGCTGAAACTGTTAGCCAGAGTAAACCTTTCCCCTTTAAGTTGTGTTCCTCCTGCATCTTGGCACAACAGGGTCCTGCCCGGACCTGCCATGAGGAATGCTGGAGATGTGAGCCCATAGGCCATCTGGGCCTCCCATCTGGCTCTCCCTTATGCCAGCTGCATTCACGTGCTGTCCATGCTTCAGTTGTGCCTATGTCATGAAGTTTCCATACAATTCCAGTACCAGGCACAGTGGTATGCCCCTGTGATAACAGTGGCTTGGGAGGCTGAGGCAGGAGGATCACGAGTTCAAAGCTAGCCTTAGCAACCTAGCGTGGCCTTAAGCAAATTAGTGATACCCTGTTTCTAAAAAATTGCTGGGGGGATGTCTCTTAGTGGGTTAAGCACCCCTGGGTTCCATCCCCAGTACTGAAAAACAAAACAAAACAAAACTCCCACTCTAGTCTGCAGTTACACAGTAGGGTGACTAAAACAGTAAAGTCCTGTGCTTTCAGAAGCTAGAAGGCAGTTAACAATTTTTTGTTTGAAGAAAAGAGTATATTTTAACCTCAAATAAATGAGGTTAAAATATACTCTTTTCTTCAAATATTTTTTAGGTGTAGATGGACACAGCCCAATGCCTTTATTTTTATGTGGTGCTGAGATCAAACCTGGGTCCCGCTCGTGCTAGGCGAGTGCTCTACTGCTGAGCTACAAATCCCAGCCCCTTGACCTCATTTAAAGGTACAGTGTACACATGTATCAAAACATAAAGTGGCACCCCATTAGTATGTACAATTCTATGTTTTTATGTGTCTGTCAAAATCAAGGGCTCAGTGGTAGAGCACTTGTCTAGTATGCATGAGGGCCTAGGTTTGATCTTCAGCATCAAAAAGAAGTAAATTTAAGAAAACCCCAGAGAACAGGCTTCCAGGAGCTCTGGACAGGGGAGCTCGTGGAGGCTTACTGGGAGACCACCAAGAACTGATTACCCCAGCTCCACTGAATGGAGGGTCCTGCATTCGGGCCTCTTCCAGGCCGCACCCTGAGGATATCTTTTGACTCTGTGTTCTTGAAAGTGTGGGTGTTCCCCTGAGTTCTGTGAGCTGTTTTGGCAAACAGCCTGAGGAGGGGCTGTGGGGATGCACTTAGTCTCCTGTGTGTGAGGCCTGCCAGTACTGCAGGAGGCCTGCTTTGGTCCTTGCTTGCAGTGGGGGCCAACTTCCGAGACTGAACCCTCAACCTGAGGGTGCTGCCTCCGGGAGGAGTTTTGGAGCTGAATTAGAGTAGAGGACTGCTGTTGTCTGCTGCTGCAGGATGGCTTGCTTTCTGTGAGGAAAAATTCCATGCTTCTGGGGATTGCAGAAGTCTGTGGCCTGTTGGTGGTGGGTAAGAGTGAAAAGAAGTATTGGTTTCGTTTGTTTGTTTGTTTGTTTTTTCCCTACTCAAAGCCTTCTAAAATGTACCTGGCCCTAGTATTCTTTTGAATTTATGTTCATCAGAAGCTGTGAAGAGGATGCCTAAGTCCCCTGAGATGTATGCTGTGGACGTCCTGGGGTATGCCTTGAACTTCTGGATACCTCTCTGGTCACTGCTATAAATCTACAGGATCTCTGGCCTTCCACAAACAAAAAGTATCACAGAAAAGATAGGTCTTTTGAAACTCTTAACATTCCTCTGTTCATT